TATATGTATGATGGATCGTATAGTAGAGAGAAGCAATATATATTGATAATTATTATATAGAGATTAATAAACTCGATAATCTTATGAGAACTCACTTGTTTAGTTTGAGGATCATCTATGATTGCTGAGACTGAACTCAAAAACAAGACAAAGAGACAAAAAAAATCTGCTCCTTTCGCCATCTTTTTCTTACAAAACGATTTAAAGGTTAATTACTATAAACTTTCAAATTTGTTACTGTATGTATAAATAGTAGACTCATGCCTATACCGTCAAGGAAAAAATCCTCTAATTAAATTCCTCTGATTCTCTTCTTTATTTGTAAATTACGATAAGAATAACCATTACCAACTATAGTAGATTTTAGATTCACCAAAAAAACAATTATAGTAAATTTTAGTGATGATAATTGTATCAAATGGTATATATCGTTGTATATTGACCAAAACTTGATTCTTGTTGTAATTACTATAATACTTAGTATTACTTTGAGTTTGACTGGTAATCTCAGATAAATAACAGAATAACTGTTAACGAACGAACTCAAATGGATAAAATTTTCGTAAAATAATTATAAAACATTGGAAAGTTAATTCTTAAGTAGATTAAACGTGTTACGTCTGTTTTGGTTATATTTTTAACACGCAAATGGTATATAGCGGAATCATTTTTCCAAAAGATGAAAATGCAAAAAAGTAATGAATCTTTCGAAATGGTAAAAAATAGCAGAAACACATTTCTAAAATGTTAACGGGAACAAATAGTATACCGTTCATCATGCATGTATCTTACTGATATTTCTATAAAATGGTATATATGTTGACTAAAACGGCATCATACTATTGTATTTTACATCTTTGAGAAATATATCTCTGGTTTTATTGTAACACGACTTGAAAAAATAATTATTTCGTAAAAAATTAATTGGGAATATACAAACTCGAGTGTACGACATTAAAAGGGTTATAAACACAATTTTAATATAATTATCTAAATTCTCTTCGAAGGATTTTTAGTACTCTTTTCTAAAACTTGTAACACAATTTTGGAAGATTGGCCATTTGAAGCCTAAGAGGGTGTCCGCATCAGTGATCAGGTTCATTAGAGAAAAAAACAATTGAATTATCTCATTTCAACACTTAACATAATTAGGATCCCTATTCAACATAGCTACTAGACACGAACTCACGAAACATCTTTTAACAAAAAAGTTCATAGCAACATAAAACAGAACAACACCAAACAATAATAATTAATATTCACGATCTAGTTTAAACCAAAATATATATATTGACGGTAGTGATGATTATGGTAGAAAGATGTAAAACTGATGTTGCAACATCAAATGCTAGTATAAACAACGATTGGACTTCTCACGTTATGTGTGCCATCAGTCCAAATTAGGGTTGCAGATGAATGCAATTTTGGATCGTGATTGCTTCCTGAATCAGTCACCGTGAAAAACTGTTTCTCATTCACCCTTTAAAAAGAAAGGACACTAGACGGTTTTGGATCGAGATTACTGTTTGAAATAGTCACCGTAAAAAAACTGTTTCTCGAGAGCGGTTATGGGTTACGGCGTAACTCATAGCCGCTCTCTTCTTAAAAACGCATATTTTCATCAAAAATGTAACTTATATGATTTGTTTTGTTACACACCTAATAAGAACCATTTTTTTTTCTCTGACAGAAAGATATTTATACTCTGTGATTAAAATTAGATTTGTTGTCTAATATGATTCAAAAATATATCTTCTATTTATATATATTTATACTTTGATAAAATAAAAAAGTATGTATGTTTATATGAGATGTAGATAGAAATGAGAAACTAAAACAAAAATGTGGGAATATGACCACCGATTTCCTAGCTTTCATATTATTGTTTTTACAGTGTTAAGAATCACATGTGAGGTCAAATATGTCGGAAAATTATAATCTCACTTCATTCCTTAAATTTTGCTATACTCCTTTGCAATAAATGTGTTGCTCTACATTATATAGGATGAGTATTTTTATTTAGTCGATAAAAAAAATGATGGATGAATTTAGAAGCAATAACATAAAGGGACCGCCGGGACGTGCAAGGTACGGCGATGGTAGCTGGCTAACACAAACTCCCATGCATCTATTTCCACAATCTTTATCTCTCTCTATTTGTTTTACACAAGATTTATATTTCTTGAAGATTGGTTTCAAAAAAAATTCTTACATATTAAAATACATTTCATATATGTCTTTTTAGTTGTTTTTATTTTCACAATAATTATACACTCACCATTTTTCACATTAAAACACTTCTCTATAGTGTAATTGTAAACCAACGAGTTTATTTATTAATTCAAGTATCTTACATTTATATTTTTGTAGTCACATTTCATTTACATCAATGTAGAATACATAGAAATAAATTAATATTAAGATTCATGAAATAAAAGCAAAAATAGAAACCCATTTTTAATGAAATGGAGAGATTTTCATGAAATTTTGTTGTTGTGGACATATATCTATATCTTGTAAGTTGTAAATGATAACATTACAAAATAGTCACTACGTACTAATAAATTTTGAAATAAAAGAGAAATGGAGATCCCACCTACGCCAAATATTGAATGCATCACCGCTTTTTGCGTTCTTCCACATACTCAATTATTTCATTTACATCTTTTTATCTTCCTACATTGTCACTAATCGATCATCAACACTTACTTTCCAACATTTTCACTAACCGGAGAGGCGGAGACTTGTGGCCCTGCTGAGTTTGCGTCGTCGATCGCGAAAACAATACTTTCGCTACTAAAACCCGGTATCGTATAAAATCCTATCTTACGCAGTCGCACAACACTATATATTTAGACGTAATTCATTGACAAATAGTCCGACTAAGTGTACTATGGTCCACTAACCTTATAAGTTATAATCAACGTTTATTATATGTAGATTTAACTAAAAAGGCAATTCATAAATCTTAATGCATGTACGTAAATAATAAAGAAAGAAATACATTTATTGTGGGTATGGGAATGCATTAAAAGTGCCGAATATATAAAAATTGGTACACTATTTTCGAATGATGTAGTTTGGGGACACTTGAGACTATAAATACAGCAATGTGATCCAAGGTCAAGCTCCTCTTTAAGTACTTGACATTTCAACATATATATAACATACATTAAAAACACATATGCAGAGGGAGATGCATATCTATGGATTGGAATAGTAGAGAAATAGCTATAAAGCTCAGGAGGGATAGCGCCATGAATCACCAATACTATATGTTGTGTATATTACATGCATGTAGATCTGTTGGCGCTATCCATCCTGAGTTCCATAGCTTCTTCTTGCTTAAATGTGTATCCTACTTCATTCCGTTGAGCATCTTGTATACAAGAGATGGTAATGGGTAAGTTTTATCATTTGTATATATGTAATATTTTATATAAGATGACGGGACTTACTGAAGTTCAAATCATGTGTTAGTTGTCTCGAAAGTGAGAAAAAAATCGCAGGTCAATTTGTTCTTAAGAACACATGATTGGTGAAATAGTATGGTCTTACAAATATCTGGATTTTACACATCTAACAGTTTGTTGATAACAGTCAAGTACTCTTATGTATATTATCCAATTTTGTACCCGATGTGTGTGTGGGTGAGAGATGGAAGATAAGTAACATCGCCATGTGCTAGATGGAGCCAGCCAGCAATTGAATTGGTGAATATACAATGTTAGAAGAGCGATCTTTGTCGAAATGAAAAAGGGAATCTTGAAGACCAATGTTAGGGGATTCCAAATTTCCTGGATTTTTTTCTCATCTCCCCACATATTCTAAATAACCTTTCAATATATTTCTTTTCGGATTTTGGGTATCAATCATTTTTGTTCATGTATAATCTTGCATTAGAACGGTTATGAGACGGCAACATCCAAAAATCGTTTGCTTTTTCTTTTTTTTGGTGAAGACATAAAATTTCATTACAGGGAAGTGGGAACACTCTCGAGGGTTACCCAATCTGGCACCAAAAATCATTGATCATGTGGCATACACACATCTAGACTTTTACGAGACACCCTTCTCTTTGGTACTTAGGGATCTAGAATGAACGATAAACTATATTTCTTAACTCGTCTTTTATCCAAAAAAAGCCACTCATTTGTAATACTCAGGAACCCATCTATAGCCTCAGCGAGTAACTTGGCAATAAAATCATCAAGTTGATCTTTGAAATGTCACTGCATACTTCAGATCAACAAATCAGACAAAAGTGCCTAGCCATCTCCCACTCCTGCCATTTCTCGTGGAACGAGATGTTGCTATAGATGAAGTTCGAGAGAAGAAACGATAATAACTCCGAAAATTGTAAAGGGTAGTGTTTTGCCTAAATGAATGCATACACAATACAACATGAAAACATATGACTGGTTTAGTTTGTGTTGAACAGAGGCAAAAAGAAGGAAGAGAAACAAGAAAGGGACTTCTGGTGTAGAAAGAAGTAATCAAGATGAATGCACTCACCTGAAATCATCATAGCACCAATTTGCAATGCATTTTGCAGTTAAATGTCAGCTTCCTTCAATAAAAAAACAAAAACAAACATTTCACATTGTGGAAAACAAACTAAAAGAAGGATAACCCGCAGATGCATAAATAATAGATCCCCAAAGAAACAGAACAAAGTAGGGAGAAAAAAAGGGGTAATTTTGCTCAAGGTCAATGTGAACAAAAACCTACCTCTTTTTTTTGTATCTCCAATATGATGACTCATAGAACATTTTACTAAAATTCCCCCCTCAACACACACAAAACTCTTAGAACACATAATAGCTGATTCACTGATTCCTCTCTTTCTCTCAATATGGACGAGACCGGTTTCCCCCATGATGGTTTCTGTCTGGCCCTGAACCGTAGTTATCTCTTCTTCTGTCTCCCCCACCACCACCATAGCCACCCCCTCCTCCTCCTCCTCCTCCTCTACCACCGCCTCTGCGCCATTCACAAGTTTTACAAAGACCACATTATTACATCAGACTCAGACCATCTAATTAAAACCAGCTTACTACTGAAGATGAAGTGACTCAAACATAACAAAGGCGAGTCTTAAAAAGCATGAAAAACCAGCTAATAATGCAACTTATATGGGGAATTACTAGGAGCTTATAAGAAGCATGGACAAAAAAATTACTCTTCACAATCAAAAGAAGCCACAGCTAAATGATAGAAGATATGTTTAGCTACATAGAATTAATTCCTATGGCATGAACATAGACCTAAGGCATAATTTCATGACATAACAAACTTTCCTACCCTTTCTGTCATAGATGAGTGTACAAAGCAGATCCCCAGTAGGAAACAAGTCCCATACAGTCTCTACAAACTTAGCATAGCACAAACTCATTCCCTCACCAAAATTATACAGCTAAAAGCCTAAAATAACTAGAGTACAGAAACCTATAAGATGGAGTAGTGGTGACAGCTAAATGGTAACAAAAAGATGTAAAGTGCTGATAAAAGATCTACCTCTGGTCAAAGGTAGGAGCACGGGGCGCAGACTTCGCTGCCATCGTTACACTAATTTTATTCCCCCTCATTTCGTAATCTACAAAACAATCAACCACCATTCACCAAACAGAACTTTTAAACAATTTTAAAGCTAAACAGCAATTCCATAGTACATACTGTTGAAAAAGCCGCCTGCAGAGTGTGCAGCGCTAGGATCTTCATAGGCCAGACAGGCGTCACCTTTATTGTTACCCTTCTCATCAGTGTAAATCTTAATATTATAGGGCCACTGATCTTTGTAACCCCGCTTTTGCTTAATTCTTCCAACCTATAGATCCAACAGGAAATACACACCCAATCAGCACACCAATAAACATGTACATTAACAAGAATTTACGGCTAGGCAAAAGCTTATCCCAAGATGTAAAAAACAACAGAAGTAAAAGACCAGTGTTATTACTTGGCCAATGCCACCAAAGAGATCCTTGAGTTCATCAGTAGTCACATCCAGAGGTAAATTAGAGATGTATATTCTAGCATTATCACAAGTATCATCACAATCCGCATCGCACTGCTTGACTTCAGTGCCTGCATCTTCATAACTAGCTTCCTGCCGTCGAGGAGCACTACCCCCATCATAGCCGCCACTCCTACTACCCCGACCACCAGTGCTTGGTGCATCACCGCCATAACCTCCTCTTGGAGCACCATATGACGGGGGGCCACCAGAATAGCTTGGAGGCGGAGGCACAGCTTCCATTCCATAACCAGAGGGTGGAGGATAACTTCCAGAACCATCGTAGGATGGAATAGCTGCAGGAGGAGGAGCCTGACCATACGAACCATTTTCCCTCTGTTGACTACCACTACCATAGCTACCACCACTCCTACTTCCACCATCATATCTACTACTCTCATAGCTCCTACCACTATCGTTTCTACCTCCACGACCACCCCCACGATCACTGGCACCTCCACCTCGGCTATATCCACTACTGCCACGATCTCCAGCACCAGAACCAGCACCAGTACCAGAAGGAGCAGGTGCACCACACTTGTTACATTCAACTCTCCTTGCAAAGTTCACGTTCCCACAACTATACAAACAGTTTCGAGAGTAAACAACTTCAAAACATAATTCCCGAGAGGAATTCAACAGCTAATCAAATTTCATTACATATGCAGAAAGAATGGATCCCAAATAATATGCAATCATTACCTAGGGTTGGGACAACGCCAATCTCCATCTCTGCCGCCGCCACCACTTCCTCTTCCACCGCGATCACCTCCTTGATATCCACCACCTCCACCACCTGAATCAAATCGAATCATCGAAATAGTGAGAAAATAAAGATTTAACCAAAGCAGATAAGCAAGGAATGGAGAAATCTAAAGAATCGTAAAGGTATATTAATCAGATCTGGAACAATCTATATCACAAACCTCGATTTCCTCTACCACTACCACCGCCACCGCCATAACCACCGCGTCCGCCGTAACCGCCTCCGCCAGAGGCACCACGTCCTCCATATCCAGCATCACCGCCTCCATAACCTCCACCTCCGCCGTATCCATCACCACCGTACGACGGGATAGGCGCACCTCCGCCGCCGTCTTGATTGTACATCCCAGCCATGACCTAGGGTTTGCGATAGACGACAGACCAAACTCTTAACGAATTGTGTGAGAGCCTTTTTAGACGTTAAAAAAAAATCTCGCCGTATTTATATTTTTCTCATAAATTAGTGGACTTTCCTTTTTATTGCATTTATCTTAAATCTTAAATTCTTATTACATCTTTATCTGGCTTCGGCTTTTACCGACCGGTTTCCCAAAATAACTGGACTTGCTTTTTTATCAAATAAGACTACGTGGTTCCAAGGCCCATCATCATCCAACCTTATTGAAGGCCCAGCCCAATAGCAGTTGACGTAGCCCAATAGCAGTTTCAAATGTGGCTATTTGAGAGAAATTAGAGGCAAAATCCACCAAAATTTTGCTATAACTACAACTTTAAAAGAGTCCAGACACAAGGAACAATAAGAGGAGAGGCCAGCTCTGAAAGAAACTAGGAATTTGAGAAGATGAATGAGAAGTGTCAAGTTGAATCGAGAACCTGCAATTATCCTCAGAAGGATCAACGGTAGTGATCAAACCAAGTCCACCAAAGTTGCAGCTCTCTGCACTGTGATCATTTTGCTGATACAAGCTATTGAACGCGTATGACACGTTGCCTGGCCATCTGATGCCGGAACACGACCCACCAGGAAGTATCGATGTGCAGTCCGCGACAGCACAAGCTTCTAATGCTCTTGCTGACGCGTTTGACAAGTCCTTGTTATTGTTCACCACACACCACTTAGGAGGAAGGTACTGAACATTCTGCGCGTTTCCCACTTTCTTCGGGTTATGGCTGAAATTGAAACTGTATTTGGCTTGACCATCGAATGTGAACACTCCCCAATGCCTCTCAAAGTTCCCAGAAGATAAGTTTCTCTGATCTTCGTCCAAGAGGCTTTCAATGTAGGTTTCAACAGGAGGGCGCAGGAGAGAACCCGTCTTTTTCTCCACGTGACCCATCAGTCCTTTGAAGAACACCTCAGCAGTCGGTGATGTGGCATTTGCTACTCCATCTGTAGGCCAACCGATCTTTGACACGACGATATCCACCTCTGAGAACCCAATTGTAGACAATGCAGAGACAAGTGTGTCATAGCTCAGATCAAAGCTGTTTCTGTAGGTTTTACGCCCGTCTTTGTGAGCCTGTGCTGTTTGTTTGAAGAGGCTAAAGTCGAGGGAGATGTTCTTGTTCTGGTGAAAGCTTAGAAAAGGAGAGATTGTGACAAAGAATGGAGAGTGATGCTTTGTGAGAAAGGAGAGGAGTTCGATCATCGTCTTGTTGAGGTCAGCCCTGAAGTGTCCTGAAGAAGGTCGACCGGATTCAGAAAGAAATGAGTCAAAGCTTGAGGGGACTACAACCTTTACGTCATTAGCCAAGCTCGCCTTTGCTAAAGCATTTTGGATGTTCAGAGCTGCTCCAATGACAAAAGGCCTATACTGATTGCCATAGCTCTGGAGAAATGGCTCATCTCCAACTGCTACGTACCTGAAAATCAATTCAAGTGAGAAACAATTCTTTTCTCTAATGATATTGTTCACAATAAGAAGATTAGCAATGAAACAGATCCGACTGAGCAGTTTCTATATGTGAGTTTAAAAACACGCACCAATATTGTCATTGAAAACAATCGAATTGAGTATTTCTAAGAAACTGGTCTAAAAAAGGAAATTTCCAGCTTGAGAATCCAAAATCTAGATAAATATAACTGGAAAAATGAAAGGGAAGGAGAAGAAGATACTCGATTCGAACTCTGTTTCCGCCGTTGAAGTAACGAGTGACATTGTCATGGACCCAGCTCTCTGCTACCTTTACGGATGCATTCAAGCTCTTGAGCATCGAATTTTGGATTCCGACAGTGACCCCGATGTTAGAACCAGAGAGAGCTCGGAGAACTTTTGGGTCGGCATCGAAGAGCTTCACTTTGGCAATGCCGTTGGATTTCAGCAGCTCTACAACCTTTGAAGGCGGAAGAGGATGCGACGCTTCCGTTCCCCAGTTCACGCCGAATGCTACGACGGTTGTTCCCGTCAAGCCCAACTCCACCGTGACGGCGAGGAGGAGGAGAAATAGCCGACGAGTCATCAAATCCAGTGAATCTCCTCGTTCCACGTTAATGTCGGGCCGAGTAGTTCAATGTTAAAAACAAAGAACTGCGTGCCGTTTCACGACTCAGCATCCCACTGTTATTTATCTACCAAAAAAACGACATGGTGTTTATAAATTGGGCTTTATCTTACCATTTGGGCTTCACATTCAGAGATCATCATAATGCATAAACGAATCATCTCTGCCTAATTCCATTGTGGCCACGTGGCATTAATCGATTCTCGAGTTTCCGACAGCCAGAGAAAGTGTAGTAGTGTTTGTCTGAATTAGAAATTGTCTGAAACGTAGAGAGAGATAGAAAGAGAGCGCTCTAATTCAATCATCAATGTCGACGGAACGAGAAGTAGTCTGTGTCACCGGCGCCAGTGGCTGCATCGGCTCGTGGCTGGTCCATCTGCTCCTCCACCGCGGCTACTCCGTCCACGCCACCGTGAAAAACCTCCGTAATCTTTACAAATTGCTCTCTTCGATTACGCCTCCGGTTACCATAATCTCCTCCTAATTGCCTTACATATATCAAATCTGTGTTGCAGAGGACGAGAAAGAGACAAAACATCTAGAAGCTCTTGAAGGTGCTGCCACACGCCTCCATCTTTTCGAGATGGATCTCCTACAATACGACACCGTTTCCGCCGCCGTCAATGGATGCTCCGGCGTATTCCACCTCGCATCGCCCTGTATCGTCGATGAAGTCCAAGATCCCCAGGTTCTTATATCCACTCCCAAAATCTTAGCTTTTAAAAGGACCAATAGTGAATTTGATCACTACTTCATATGTGTTCACAGAAGCAACTACTTGACCCTGCGGTTAAAGGGACCATAAATGTACTGACGGCGGCGAAAGAAGCCGGTGTTAAGAGGGTTGTTGTGACGTCTTCGATATCTGCCATAACTCCAAGTCCCAACTGGCCTGCCGATAAGATCAAGAATGAGGAATGTTGGGCAGATCAAGACTACTGCAAGAAAAATGGAGTATGTATTCTCTAATTTAAGATATACTACAAACATCTTCTTATAGATGATGTGTGATTCTTGTGTTGTTGGTAGTTATGGTATCCGCTGTCGAAGACTCTTGCTGAGAAGGCAGCTTGGGAATTTGCAGAGCAGAAGGGATTGGATGTGGTTGTGGTGAATCCAGGCACTGTCATGGGGCCTGTGATTCCTCCATCTATCAACGCTAGCATGCTCATGCTTCTACGCCTTCTTCAGGGTATTTGCTTCTCTATGAATGCTGATTGAATTGGTCTTAAGTTCCGTGGAACATCTTAGAATTTGCTTAGACGTGAATGCTTAGGGTGCACGGAGACATACGAGAACTTCTTCATGGGGTCGGTGCATTTCAAGGATGTGGCCTTAGCTCATATTCTTGTATACGAGAATCCATCTGCGAAAGGAAGGCATTTGTGCGTCGAGGCTATCTCTCACTACGGTGATTTTGTAGCCAAAGTTGCTGAGCTCTATCCCAATTACAGTGTCCCCAAGTAAGACACAAACTCTCTTATCAAACACATCTTATATATAGAGAGATTTTAATAATTTGAATTGGAAAATCTCTTAGGTTACCGAGAGAGACTCAACCGGGATTACTTCGATCTAAGAATGCAGCCAAGAAGCTGATGGAATTGGGGTTAGAGTTCAGTTCCATGGAGGACATCATCAAAGAAGGTGTGGAGAGTCTTAAAAGCAAAGGATTTATCTCTTAAATTATCTGCTTGATTTAGCAATGAACAAATTACGGAGGCAACCAGAATCATTTCATATGATATACGATTTACGCTTTTGTAATAAATAAGCTGGCCTATGTTGTTGGACATCCAACTAATTTTTATCATGGTTTGGATAATATAGATGATCTCTCTAATAAGATTCTTAAATATGAGAGTGCTTAATGTTTCTGTCATTCTGTGTTTTAGGTGTTCTATTTTGTCTCTATATTGATTTAGTGTTGTAAAGGTATCGAAATGTCAATATGTCCGAGTGGTTAAGGAGACAGACTCGAAATCTGTTGGGCTTTGCCTGCGCAGGTTCGAATCCTGCTGTTGACGATCAGATTTTGTTTTTAATTTACCATTTTTCTTTTACGTATTTGGGTAAACATACACACGTTTATGTCCGCAATTAACCAGTCTACTCATTTATGATTTGCGTTAATTTACTTCCAGGATAAAGTTTTAGCGTTTTTTTTTGCTACAATGTTTGTTGAATTTAAAATAAAAAATTTATAGTTTTCTTAATGGCAAAAATATAAGAAATTTTAAAATTAGTCTCGTTCTTTTGCAACTAAATGATTAAACATAGTTAAAGGTTTCAGCCAACCATCTTACTGATTTGCAAGTTCCAAACTAGTAGTATTGGATTGAAGATCATGTAATCATTTCTACCAGCCTTTGTTAATTAGCTAGCGGTTTCTTATTGTTAAGAAGTGCTTTGCCTTTGAGTTTCAGATTTTATGAAATGATGAAGATATATGTATTGGACTATTGGTTACCAAGAGAATTAATGCTTGGTTGGTCACTAGTCCTTTTCAAATTTGCACTTGTATGATTAATCAAGACCACCCACTATTATTTGTTGTTATTGCTATTTCTAAGATAAATGAATTCTTGAGCTTGTACCATTATTCCTCTTTTGCTATTTTGTTTCTATTTATATGTACATATATCACTAATCTTTTTTCTCTCATGTAAATGAAAAAAAAAAAGAACAAGTCCCCATTTCTACGCTTACCAAATGTAAAAAGTATTCTAAATCGAAACAATTGAAGGGAACTAATTGAGTGGTTGAATATGTAAACAAGAACATGAAATAAAGTGAAAGTAAGAAGATGATCATCATCGTTTTTTTTTTCTTTTTCTTTCGATGTTGATCATCATTCCTAAAGCTTTTAAAAGAAAGCACCTGAAGATTTATGACTTTTCAGAGAAATCACGACTCACGTGAGACCCGAGACTTGGCACATCCACACATCCCAATTACACACTTTATTACTGATGTATCTATCAATCACGGTGAAAAATAAATGAATGGAAGATTTTAAATATAATAAGATCTCATCTTACTAATAATCGGTGATCGTCTTTTCCATCTATATAACAATTTGCATCTCAAATAATTAATTTCACAAATTATATAATCAATAAATCCGAATTTTAGAAAGTAAAGAACTCAAGAATTACTATACCGTAATTCTTTTAAGATCTTAGCGTCGCGTAACTCGATTTTCTCGACTATACCGTAGTTGCAGTGGTTACGACCAAAGCAGCACCACTACTTCCTCCGGCGTCGTCTCCATCACCGGCGATTGGAGTTTTCGTGGTTGTGTGAGGCCGTTTCCGTTTCTTCTTGTCGTAAGGAATCCCTCGAGCCTTAGCCTGAGTTTGACGGACTTCCTTAAGATAGATCCTAACAGCCTTGGCAGCGAAAGGGTTTGACTCAGGAAGACCACCGCCGATTTCCTCGAAAGCAGCCCTTAGACGGCCGATGAGAGCGTCGAGGCTTCCCCAAGCTTGCTTGAGAGGGCAAGTGCACTGAGACGGTGGGTTAGGTTGTCCGAAGAAGGGACAAGCCGTGGCATGGACTTTGGTCTTACCAAACTGGTCGAGGTACTTAAGGAACTCAAGGACGTGTGCGCCACTACAACGAGACAGATTCAGAGGTGGCTTGTGGTTCCTTAGATACTGAAGGAAAGTGTTCCAGTCTCGCCTCTTTTGTGACTCGTACCGGCTTGGAGATGAGGAGGAACTAGCCGCTGCTTTGGCTGCGGTTTCTCCCTCCATGTTTGATCCTGACGTACGTTCTTTAGATATTAGGGTTCTTGATTTTATTATAAGTCTTTGTGTGTGTGGATCGATCGTGTGCCTGAAAGAGAGGAGAGAGAGAGGAAGAGTTTATGTTCAGTCACAACTCAGAAGTCAGAAGCAACAAGTTGGATTTGATTATTCATATTGTAGTTTCTCACTTTTTTTTACGTCCCATCATAATATTTATTTACCTGGGAAACAAGAAAATAAATAAGAGAAAATAGAAAAAGAGATACAACTAATTTCTATTTCCATTTAGACTATTGTCTTTCACTTTTATTTCTTTAAATGATTTTTTTTTTTAGTTTTGGGTCGTCTTGTTAAGTAAAGAATCACATCTATTTTAAATTTGGATTAAGAAATAGTAGTAATGGCGTTAAGGACATATTTTTCATGAAGTGTATAGTACTATGATTAAGGGAAGTCATCAAGTTTACGACGTTAAGGTTATTATCATTCAAAATTATACTATATATCCCGTGATTCATTGGATTTAATCATTTATACGTACATAACTTTATATATCTTTTGTTGATACATCAAATCATATCAATGGATCGTCGGTCCAATATTTATTCCATTATAGGAAATGCAACTTTGTCCCTTTCAGTTTCATGGAAACTCGTCAATTTCTTTGTCATGTTCACTCATCGAACATTATACCAAAGAGTCTAGTTAAATGTACAAGCTCCTTTATTAGTGCTCTATTGACGGCGTATATAATTTCTTGTTTATTTATTTTCTTTATAAGGGGTAATGATTTATCGTTTTGGTTGTGTCTTAATCTAAAAAGAGTATCAATATTCACACTTATTAAATTATTTAACAATTAAACTCATGATAAATGAACCACCAACTACCATATAGAGAGACTCAAAGATTATGCAAGCTAAATTCTCAGTTTATATCTATCAGTCTTTCAACTAGACATTCTATATGATTGTTACGATAAGAATAAAATGGTACAATTAGGTCCATAATTTGAGGAAATCATGGAATCGCCATATGGTTTGGTTCATAATATATATGCAAGTTTTTCAAATATATATATATATATATATATATATATATATACTTATTGCGATGGAATTGATAAAATAGAAAAAAGAAAAAGAGAAAAGAAATAGTGAGGAGTTGGTAGTGGGTCAAGAATCAATGAAGAAAGGAATTGGCCATTGATTTCTAATAATCTAATCCACACAATTTCATCACTCAATCGTCATTTACTTAACATTCTTTATAATGTTTAGTGCTTAGTCTCATACCTATTCTGTCACACCTTTTCACTTTAGTCCCACACCAGCTCCTATTTTTATATGTATAATTTAGGATGGAGAAAATAATTATTTGTATGTAGGAGGATCATGTCAAACATGGCAACTATTTAATTAAAATCTCTATCACAAAACTCTTAATTCTTCATCATTTCCTTATATATACATCCAATCCAATCATCAAATTTAGAAACAAGAATAAAAACGTCATCTCTACCAATAACAACAATAGTATCTAATAAACATTTACATAATTCACCATCGTCGCATCAGATGATTTGTTTTCTTCTAAATCTTATTTGGACCTACACCATATGAACATAATCATACTTTCATAACGGTGTACAATTAGATCTCATCTTAAGCTATACAAATACAATTCAGTTTGTTTGTATAGCTTAATAAAATACATTATCTTTTTTCTTTTGCACAAACAATCTTAATGACCACTCAATCTGATGCTTCTAGAAAGATAGCATCATCACATGATTACCCTTTATAATGCAAAGTAACAAAACTAATCTTCTTTTTGTCTTTTTGAAATTTGGTTGCGTGTTTCGTCTTAATTAATTATGACGTCGGAAATGAGAGATCTCTCATTGCATTTACGTCGTCCCGACTTCTCTGTGCCCATATATCTAATTGAATCTTTAGATAATTCAAAAATAAAACATAGTTCTCAGTCTTTGTGACTTTGTTTCAAGAAAAAAACACAGATTCGCAAATCGATCGTTGTCTATTAATGCAAAAATTTACGCTTAGAAACTTGTTCAAGCAGAACTTCATTTGCTAATTTTCTATTAGAGAACAAATGTGTTATATCGTAATGTTAAATTAAAATGAAAAAGAATCAATCGCAAGAAGTAACAGAGAGCCCAACCCGGAGATCGTTAGATGTTCCAGACACATACATTCGGTGTGTCTCGATTTCTTCTCCCTTCCGGTCACTTGTGGCCGCCACATCAGCAGCTGCTGCGTAATGGATTCCGTTGTTGACATCGTCTCCAGTGGAGAAAATGATCTCCCTGAGAATGGGTTCGTGTCCGTTTAGAAGATTTCCCATACTCAGCACTTTTCTCCATGACTGGTTCGCCGATGGGGGCGAGAACAGATTCGACACCACTTGTCTCTCTCTCAAACTCACTTCCTGTCTACTTACTTCCATCTCCTGCGTTTCAAATGAACAGACATGTTAAGTTACATTATCCAATTATTACATTCCAATCAGAGAAATTCTTGTTGGTTTAAGGACGACTCACCGTTCTGCTTTTGTTCTCTTCATCATTTGAGCTCATTCCCATTGTTGGAGCATAAATGCCGTAGAAGTCGCTGAATATTACTTGAGCAAGGCGTGATGCGTCCAGGAACTTTCTATGAATAGATGCCGCAACCGCTACCAGCTTCTCCACGTTTTCAAAGACCATGCAGAGACGTTTCAGGTCTTTGACGGTCTTTGCTTTATCCAGAAGATTATTGCCTGCATCCAAATATCTGTTATATAGAAACAAGAGGGACGGAAGAAGAAGATGGTTAAAGGGTATAATTACGGAGAAACAAAAGTATTACGTTGTAGAGCCCCCATAGTAAATTTGATGATGAGGTAAAGTTGCTCCAATTTAGAGGTCATTTGTCTCATGTTCCCGAAGTTTGTCTGGTTAAGAGTGTCGGCTGATCCTCTGAAGGCAGTGCAGACCATTTGCTCAAGAAGCTGATGTGGCCGCACTGTTTCCAGGTAATGAACAATCTGAGAAATTTTTCAAGACATTGAGGTCAAACCTAACTCTCGCAAGAGGTTATCAGCATGGATGAGACACAGACCTTCTCTCCCTCTCGGTTTGGGTCTAGGAGAGGCTTTTGATCATCGGCTGGCAAAGCGGGTGCATCATTCCAACTTTTTCTCCACAAGTTTCCTTGATCAGACATCCGTTGAGAAAGGCGGCCACGAGGAGGCCATTCATCTTTCGAGCCTTCGGTGCTGGGGCCTGCTGATGGTTCAGTGGTTTTAGGTTCACAGCTCTCCCAATCTCCAGGTGAATGCCATCTGATAAAATCCTCAAACACTGCATCTGGGTTTGCCGCTTTGAATGCTGACATGTCTGCAATCACCTTTGGAAAATCAGGGAAATAAGAAGCAAGAAATGTATGGATGATAGGTTTACAAAACTATGAGCACCTATCCTTCTCTTCCATTCTACTCAAACTTAGAATTAGATGACAGAGAAATTTAATGAACAGTTCTTCTCCGTTACATTCAACAAAGACAGAATTTTAAACCTCACCAGATAATAAGATGTCTTTCTCCAACTGGCCAGGAACGTTCTGAAATTCAAGGGCAAAAGATGTGTTCTTTATTAAACAAACAACAAAAAAAGCGATCAATCATGTTTTTTATTTTTCTTTAAAGGTCTACGTATAACACAAGAGCATACAGAAAAAAATCCATATATAGCTAGGTAATGCATCAACACATTTGTTATGAAACATTATGTTTATAGAAACTTTTTTTTGTAGATAACCAAACCATATTCACTTCTACTGGAAAAGATGTGGAACTTACAAGGGAATCACCAAACGCCTCAACAGCCTGGAGTCTTTCTTCATGCATGTCTTCAGTCATAAGAGGTGGGTCCTGTCATCATAACTCATGAAATATGAGATTGTTAACTATAAGATATGAAACAGCCGAGGTCAAGTCGAACACTAACCTGGGTAAATGGGGCATGGAGTTGCTGACGTGACTTCAGGAGCATCATGGTCCCCACTGGTCCGGCTGAACCTCTTCTGATGGCATCTGTTGGGCTTTGGTTCACATAATTTGTGCGTTCAGTTTTCCTCTCAAATCTGAGTCGATTAGATGTATCTTCTGCAATTGAGCTGTATCCAAGCAAAAGGGATTTAAACACCCTTAGTCAAGATTTCCTCTCTATGAGATTTAACATCGATCAAGAGCTATCATCATTTAAAATGGAAAATGAAAGAAAAGAAGAAAGAGAACAAGTATTTGTAATATTAGGCAATTAGGGTTTCATCTATCTAATAACAACGAGAACTTAAGAGCTCTCACTTGCTAAGTTCACCTGTCACGTTTCCTCTGCAGATCTGCTTCTGAGGATGTATTTCTTCTCTTGTCGACCTTACGGTGTTCCTGAGAATTTATTCAAAGAAATGTTTCAAGCCAACAACTCTAGCGCTGCATGAGTTAGGATATTCTAGTGGGTTTATTGTAGGTTTTGGAACTCCTATTCCTTATAAGTTAATTTTATATATGTATTTCCGTTGTTTTTGTTAATTTAATGAAACACATACTGGCAGCACATAACAACAAATGCACAAAATACAGAAAAACTTAGCCAATCACCTCCATAGAAACAGAAGCGTCTGAACTGTCATCACTTCCTATACAGTCTAGGAACTCTTCATTCATTTCACGTTTTTTTTCGATGCAAATTGCAAGCTGATCAACATAGAAGAAATTGTTAGTACAAGTAATTTGACATTTCAGATATTAAGGATATATAGAAAATTACCAGGTGCAACTTCTGGTTGATCAAACAAGTGGACAAATCAATAGGACCGTCAATTGGCATTTTCGGCAACGGCTGTGTCTCTTCCCAACACCATCGAACTTCACGGACAAACTCTATCCAGAGGAAGGCAATGGCTAGAAATGGGATGCAGAAAACAAAAGAAAAACACAATCACATCTTATTAATCAGATAATTCCTTTCATTCCGGCACTGGCAGTTTAATCCATTTTGCTTATAATGATGCAT